TCTCTGGTCTCTCTGGTCTCTCTCTGTTCTCTCTCTGGTTTCTCTCTGGTCTCTCTCTGGTCTCTCTCTGGTCTCCCTCTGGTCTCCCTTTGGTCTCTCTTTGGTCTCTCTTTGGTCTCTCTTTGGTCTCTCTTTGGTCTCCCTCTGGTCTCTCTCTGGTCTCTCTCTGGTCTCTCTCTGGTCTCTCTCTGGTCTCTCTCTGGTCTCTCTCTGGTCTCTCTCTGGTCTCCCTCTGGTCTCCCTCTGGTCTCTCTTTGGTCTCTCTCTGGTCTCTCTCTGGTCTCTCTCTGGTCTCTCTCTGGTCTCTCTCTGGTCTCTCTCTGGTCTCTTTGGTCTCTCTTTGGTCTCCCTCTGGTCTCCCTCTGGTCTCTCTTTGGTCTCTCTCTGGTCTCCCTCTGGTCTCTCTCTGGTCTCTCTCTGGTCTCTCTCTGGTCTCTCTGGTCTCTCTCTGGTCTCTCTCTGGTCTCTCTCTGGTCTCTCTTTGGTCTCTCTCTGGTCTCTCTCTGGTCTCTCTCTGGTCTCCCTCTGGTCTCTTTGGTCTCTCTTTGGTCTCCCTCTGGTCTCTCTCTGGTCTCCCTCTCGTCTCCCTCTGGTCTCTCTCTAATCTTTCTCTGGTCTCTCTCTGGTCTCTCTGGTCTCTCTCTGGTCTCTCTGGTCCCTCTCTGGTCCCTCTCTGGTCTTTCTCTGGTCTCTCTCTGTTTTCTCTCTGGTCTCTCTCTGGTCTCTCTCTGGTCTCTCTCTGGTCTCTCTCTGGTCTCCCTCTGGTCTCTCTTTGGTCTCCCTCTGGTCTCCCTCTGGTCTCCCTCTGGTCTCTCTTTGGTCTCTCTTTGGTCTCCCTCTGGTCTCCCTCTGGTCTCCCTCTGGTCTCTCTTGGGTCTCTCTCTGGTCTCTCTCTGGTCTCTCTCTGGTCTTTCTCTGGTCTCTCTGGTCTCTCTCTGGTCTCTCTGGTCTCTCTGGTCTCTCTCTGGTCTCTCTCTGGTCTCTCTGGTCTCTCTCTGGTCCCTCTCTGGTCTCTCTCTGGTCCCTCTCTGGTTTCTCTCTGGTCTCTCTCTGGTCTCTCTCTGGTCTCTTTGGTCTCTCTTTGGTCTCCCTCTGGTCTCTCTCTGGTCTCTCTGTTCTCTCTCTAATCTTTCTCTGGTGTCTCTCTGGTCTCTCTCTGGTCTCTCTCTGGTTTCTCTCTGGTCTCCCTCTGGTCTCTCTCTGGTCTCTCTTTGGTCTCTCTTTGGTCTCCCTCTGGTCTCTCTCTGGTCTCTCTCTGGTCTCCCTCTGGTCTCTCTTTGGTCTCTCTCTGGTCTGTCTCTGGTCTCTCTCTGGTCTCTCTCTGGTCTCCCTCTGGTCTCCCTCTGGTCTCCTCTGGTCTCCCTTTGGTCTCTCTTGGTCTCTCTTTGGTCTCCCTCTCTCTCTGGTCTTTCTGGCCTCTCTCTGGTCTCTTTGGTCTCTCTTTGGTCTCCCTCTGGTCTCTCTCTGGTCTCTCTCTGGTTTCTCTCTGGTCTCCCTCTGGTCTCTCTCTGGTCCCCTCTGGTCTCTCTTTGGTCTCTCTTTGGTCTCCCTCTGGTCTCCCTCTGGTCTCTCTCTGGTCTCTCTCTGGTCTCTCTCTGGTCTCTCTGGTCTCTCTGGTCTCCCTCTGGTCTCCCTCTGGTCTCCCTCTGGTCTCCCTCTGGTCTCCCTCTGGTCTCTCTTTGGTCTCTCTTTGGTCTCTCTTTGGTCTCCCTCTGGTCTCCCTCTGGTCTCTCTTTGGTCTCTCTTTGGTCTCCCTCTGGTGTCCCTCTGGTCTCTCTCTGGTCTCTCTCTGGTCTCTCTCTGGTCTCTCTCTGGTCTCTCTCTGGTCTCTCTCTGGTCTCTCTTTGGTCTCTCTCTGGTCTCTCTTTGGTCTCCCTTTGGTCTCTCTTTGGTCTCTCTTTGGTCTCCCTCTGTCTCTCTTTGGTCTCTCTTGGTCTCTCTCTTGGTCTCTCTCTGGTCTCTCTCTGGTCTCTCTCTGGTCTCTCTCTGGTCTCTCTCTGGTCTCTCTCTGGTCTCTCTTTGGTCTCCTCTCTCTCTGGTCTCCCTCTGGTCTGGTCTCCCTCTGGTCTCCTCTGGTCTCTCTCTGGTCTCTCTCTGGTCTCTCTCTGGTCTCTCTCTGGTCTCTCTCTGGTCTCTCTCTGGTCTCTCTCTGGTCTCTCTCTGGTCTCTCTCTGGTCTCTCTCTGGTCTCTCTCTGGTCTCTCTCTGGTCTCTCTCTCTGGTCTCTCTCTGGTCTCTCTCTGGTCTCTCTCTGGTCTCTCTCTGGTCTCTCTCTGGTCTCTCTCTGGTCTCTCTCTGGTCTCTCTCTGGTCTCTCTCTGGTCTCTCTCTGGTCTCTCTCTGGTCTCTCTCTGGTCTCTCTCTGGTCTCTCTCTGGTCTCTCTCTGGTCTCTCTCTGGTCTCTCTCTGGTCTCTCTCTTGGTCTCTCTCTGGTCTCTCTCTGGTCTCTCTCTGGTCTCTCTCTGGTCTCTCTCTGGTCTCTCTCTGGTCTCTCTCTCTGGTCTCTCTCTGGTCTCTCTCTGGTCTCTCTCTGGTCTCTCTCTGGTCTCTCTCTGGTCTCTCTCTGGTCTCTCTCTGGTCTCTCTCTGGTCTCTCTCTGGTCTCTCTCTGGTCTCTCTCTGGTCTCTCTCTCTGGTCTCTCTCTGGTCTCTCTCTGGTCTCTCTCTGGTCTCTCTCTGGTCTCTCTCTGGTCTCTCTCTGGTCTCTCTCTGGTCTCTCTCTGGTCTCTCTCTGGTCTCTCTCTGGTCTCTCTCTGGTCTCTCTCTGGTCTCTCTCTGGTCTCTCTCTGGTCTCTCTCTGGTCTCTCTCTGGTCTCTCTCTGGTCTCTCTCTGGTCTCTCTCTGGTCTCTCTCTGGTCTCTCTCTGGTCTCTCTCTCTGGTCTCTCTCTCTGGTCTCTCTCTGGTCTCTCTCTGGTCTCTCTCTGGTCTCTCTCTGGTCTCTCTCTCTGGTCTCTCTCTGGTCTCTCTCTCTGGTCTCTCTCTGGTTCTCTCTCTGGTCTCTCTCTTCTGGTCTCTCTTCTGGTCTCTCTCTGGTCTCTCTCTGGTCTCTCTCTGGTCTCTCTCTGGTCTCTCTCTGGTCTCTCTCTGGTCTCTCTCTGGTCTCTCTCTCTGGTCTCTCTCTTCTGGTCTCTCTCTGGTCTCTCTGGTCTCTCTCTGGTCTCTCTCTGGTCTCTCTCTGGTCTCTCTCTGGTCTCTCTCTCTGGTCTCTCTCTTCTGGTCTCTCTCTCTGGTCTCTCTCTCTGGTCTCTCTCTTCTGGTCTCTCTCTCTGGTCTCTCTCTCTGGTCTCTCTCTGGTCTCTCTCTGGTCTCTCTCTGGTCTCTCTCTCTGGTCTCTCTCTCTGGTCTCTCTCTGGTCTCTCTCTGGTCTCTCTCTGGTCTCTCTCTCTGGTCTCTCTCTGGTCTCTCTCTGGTCTCTCTCTGGTCTCTCTCTGGTCTCTCTCTTCTGGTCTCTCTCTGGTCTCTCTCTCTGGTCTCTCTCTCTGGTCTCTCTCTGGTCTCTCTCTCTGGTCTCTCTCTGGTCTCTCTCTCTGGTCTCTCTCTGGTCTCTCTCTGGTCTCTCTCTGGTCTCTCTCTCTGGTCTCTCTCTCTGGTCTCTCTCTCTGGTCTCTCTCTGGTCTCTCTCTGGTCTCTCTCTCTGGTCTCTCTCTGGTCTCTCTCTCTGGTCTCTCTCTCTGGTCTCTCTCTCTGGTCTCTCTCTCTGGTCTCTCTCTGGTCTCTCTCTCTGGTCTCTCTCTGGTCTCTCTCTGGTCTCTCTCTGGCTCTCTCTCTGGTCTCTCTCTCTTCTGGTCTCTCTCTGGTCTCTCTCTCTGGTCTCTCTCTCTGGTCTCTCTCTCTGGTCTCTCTCTCTGGTCTCTCTCTCTGGTCTCTCTCTCTGGTCTCTCTCTCTGGCCTCTCTCTCTGGTCTCTCTCTGGCCTCTCTCTCTGGTCTCTCTCTCTGGTCTCTCTTCTGGTCTCTCTCTCTGGTCTCTCTCTCTGGTCTCTCTCTGGTCTCTCTCTCTGGTCTCTCTCTCTGGTCTCTCTCTGGTCTCTCTCTGGTCTCTCTCTGGTCTCTCTCTCTGGCTCTCTCTCTGGTCTCTCTCTGGTCTCTCTCTCTGGTCTCTCTCTGGTCTCTCTCTTCTGGTCTCTCTCTTCTGGTCTCTCTCTCTGGTCTCTCTCTTCTGGTCTCTCTCTTCTGGTCTCTCTCTTCTGGTCTCTCTCTGGTCTCTCTCTCTGGTCTCTCTCTGGTCTCTCTCTGGTCTCTCTCTCTGGTCTCTCTCTCTGGTCTCTCTCTCTGGTCTCTCTCTCTGGTCTCTCTCTCTGGTCTCTCTCTCTGGTCTCTCTCTCTGGTCTCTCTCTGGTCTCTCTCTCTGGTCTCTCTCTCTGGTCTCTCTCTGGTCTCTCTCTCTGGTCTCTCTCTCTGGTCTCTCTCTCTGGTCTCTCTCTCTGGTCTCTCTCTGGTCTCTCTCTCTGGTCTCTCTATGCTGGCCCTCTCTCTCTGGCCTCTCTCTCTGGTCCTCTCTATTCTGGCCTCTCTCTTCTGGTCTCTCTCTTCTGGTCTCTCTCTCCTGGTCTCTCTCTCTGGTCTCTCTCTCTGGCCTCTCTCTTCTGGTCTCTCTCTTCTGGTCTCTCTCTCCTGGTCTCTCTCTCTGGTCTCTCTCTCTGGCCTCTCTCTCTGGTCTCTCTCTCTGGCCTCTCTCTCTGGCTCTCTCTCTGGCCTCTCTCTCTGGTCTCTCTCTCTGGCTCTCTCTTCTGGTCTCTCTCTTCTGGTCTCTCTTCTGGTCTCTCTCTTCTGGTCTCTCTCTTCTGGTCTCTCTCTTCTGGCCTCTCTCTTCTGGCCTCTCTCTTCTGGCCTCTCTCTGGTCTCTCTCTTCTGGTCTCTCTCTTCTGGTCTCTCTCTTCTGGTCTCTCTCTTCTGGTCTCTCTCTCTCTGCCTCGTTCACTAAAAATGAATTAAACATGCCTCTTGCTGCTGGAACAAATAACATGTACTTTTATAACCAAGACAAAGTTAGGTACCTCAGCTTTAACGACGCTGGGACAGTCCAGATGTCACACAACAGGACTCTCTCTCCTCAAAACAACACAACATACAACAGTCTGAAGTAAACAAAACCACACAAACTACTCTAAGATTCCACTACGTCTGATTTTAAGCCAAAAGTCTCAGTATTTTACAAGTTGTTGATGAAGAACTTTTACTGTGACAGGACCGCCCGCACTTCCGGCCCCGTGTGAGTGGGACGCAGATCACTTTCTCCGGGAACTTTGGCTCAAAACTCACCGGTCTCTATCTGCCGCAGGATGAGCTCCAGGGCCCCGTGGCTCTGCAGAGCTCCGACCACCACCAGCACACAGTGATCCCCGGAGAGAGCGCCCTTGGCCGGGGAGAAGGAGCCCGAAGCCCCGCGAGTGACGCCCTGCCCCACCACAGCCGCCGCCATCTTGGACTGAACCCCTCTGACGTCATCACAACAACTGTTTTTTTCTCTCTCTCTCCACGAGTTTTATAATTTTATTTATTTATACGCTTCAATTGTGGTATAACAAGTGTGTGGTATAAATGCGTGATATGGACGGCCAAAAGTGTCATAATAATAAATAGATTAATGTCACAATCAGTCAATAATTATTTAGGTAACGTTTCAAATTATTATATATATCATTATCAATATACGACTTTTTTTGGTTCAAAACTAAAAAATACAACTTTATCATTTCCTGACTGCATTTATTTATTTCCTTTTTCATTCAAAGGATAAATTATTATTATTATTATTATTATTATTAATTGGCACTTTTGTCCAAAGAAAAAATAAATCACCATTATTTTCTTTCTGCATATATTCATTTATTTTCTTTTTTTTCCACACATTTTCTGTTAGATTATTTCAGCCTGCTTCATTCTCACGTCTATGACCAAATGCAAATTAAGGGGGCGTGGCTTCAGACAGAAACAATTAAACAAACAATCAACAAATCCACCACATTCCCGTACATTCTGGACTATAAGGCGCACCTGTTTATAAGCTGCACCACCTACAGTTTAAAATAAAACCATCGTTGGCCTACAGGCCGCACTTGAATAAACGTTTTCATGTTGAGATGTAGCCGAGAGACGACTGGTTTAACTGCTCACAACATGATTTAATGACGAGGTGTTTGGGCTTTACTGAGCGTCCCATAGCTAGTTTAAAAAAGGATGGAATCAAAATAATAAGTCCATTAACTCTGCATCTGACAACATTCCAACTCTACCGCAACAGAAAAAACATATTTATATTATCTTTCATAATAAAACTAATCAAAAGCCAATATTGTCAGGATTTAGCAGACAGAGACGGATCGTGGTGCGCCAAACTCTGGAAGTTTATTTAAGTTTCTCTCAAGTTCCACTGGGTTTACTCTGTTTCTTTTCCTCAGACAGAATAAAGGCAGTACACAGTTTATATAGTCATTGTCACGTCACACAATCGAAAGACATACGTGTCACAAAGAGACAGTCACATCATAGTCATAACATGAGTCCTTGTAGAGTCCTTGTACAGTCCCTGCACGTAGGCCATATTGCTATCTAATACTAATACCCTCCCCTTTGATCACATAATCACATGTGATCATTCAATTTGATCAATCAATAAAATGGAAAAAGAAAAAAAAAAAAAAATCAAAAAAAAACTTCAAAAAATTATTAAAAACAAAGATAATGTATGCATTAAACTCATAATCATCAAATCAATAGCAGTGGATTTTATCCTCTATCCTGGGAAAAAATAAAAAACAAAAATAAAGTAATAAAACAAACAAAAAAACAAATCAAAAACAAAAACCAAACAAAAATAAAAAACAAACAAAAACACTATTGGACACACAAGAACTCAGCAGATTCAGTCAAAACACAGACAAAAACGAGCTGAGTCTCAAATTTGAAGCTAAATTTCACTTTTAATTACTCTATACTTTTATTCTAATGCTAATTGTTTACACTACAACTTCACTTATTTCACTGTATTATTTTCACTTTTTAATCTTATACTGTGTACTTTACTCTTCTATTCACTATAGTTTAAACTATGCTATAATCTATTCACAAATTATGTTTGCATATTTGCTTCTATTGAGCCAGATTCTTAAACAGATCCATTTTAATCTAACAAATCTCTCTGTGGTATTATAACTCTAATTATCAGTGGCTTATTGTTAGTGGGATTTTGCTCCATCTCTATTCCATTCTCAGGAATAAAACTGTGAACACAGTAAGGCAAATGGTCAACATTTACACTTCTATAGTGGTCAGGGATTTATTACTTTTTATTATCTAAAGATATTATTGTCAGGCAGTTTGGGATGAATGTACATCTTTAATCAAATTATTATTATCCTTACAAGAGCTAATCTATTTTAGCAGGTTTGGGGTTGGGGTCCAGTTATTCTACAATGGTGTTTGTGCTGGAAACTTCTCAATATCTAAATATCTACTATTGTGTTTTTGTGCTATACACAAATGCATCAAAATGCTTTTAAATGCTTTTGAATCTCTGTTGGTTGTAATCTATCTCATTGATTCTAGGCATTAATCTAGGCTACACTCATATGAACTTTTTGTATTGTCAACATTCACTCATGTTTGAACACAAGTGAATTTGGCAAGTATCTAATAAAACTGTACATAAACTGTAATTAACTTTATCTACTTCTGAAGTAAATGTTTGTGAAATGGTCCCTTTACCATTTGATATTAACACTTGCTGGAAATATTCTCTATTTTTGAAAGCATCTATGGTTGATGCATTTATCTATTTCTCTATTTTTACACTATTTTTTAACTCAAAAGCTCGGCTGCAGCTTGAGCAAAGGCATATTCCTAGTTTGTGACTTCTGTCACTTTTAATGGCTGTAAACATAACTCTGATTCTAATATTATAGCTGATCTATCAAAAGGATAACATTGTAGGGTACTATTTTAACTCTTATGTGGAAATGTGTTTATGAAAAACAAAGGAAGGACAATTCTACTTTTTACTACTATTTAACATCTACTAAAACGCTACAATACTCATACTTTATCATTTTAAAAAACATTTTAACAGTTGCTCAGTCTCCCAGACAAAAAAAGTCAAAGTTTTTGTCTGTCAGATGTCTGAATACTTAACATGTATATTGCATTTGGTCACAGGTTCTGGTTGTAGCAATAGCATCGGCAATAGACGTTTTCATTGGCTGGTTCTTGTTCTGCAAATGTCTGTGTCCAATAGATCTCAGATGTCCAGAAGCTAGGGACAAACAAAAACAAAAGAAAGAATCATGAGTATCTCTCTCATTTAGCACTCATCAATGTATGATTTCAAAAATATAAACATCACACTCCCCAGTTTCTCTCTCAGGTCCTCAGGTCCTCAGGTCCTCAGGGTCCCCTGAGGGTGAGTCTCAGTCGTCATCAGGTCAGGTCATCTTGGACATCAGTAGGGTCCAAGCCATGGCTCTGGTCTCTTCTCCAGTTGGACATCAGATCTCCAGATACAGTCTTTTCACTTGAAGCACATCAGGTCACTTGGGATGCACTTCTGGTCAATGGTGCAGTGTCTCAGTTCCTGTAACACAGCTTGTTATGCAATAGTTACTCTCTATGGTTAAGTCACTTTGATTCTACTTTAACACAATTTCTATTCATGCTGTGCTAATGTCTCTCAGACAAAAGCAAGCGCAGTTTACTTCTCTATTTTGTGTTTTTATCAGATCTAATTCTAATCAATGTAATTACTTCACACAGTACAAAATCAAAACATCAAAAGTGTCAGGACAGAGGGTCAATTAAGTCCATGACAATATAGAATTCAAATGAACATTTCTGGTCTCAAAAAAATACTGATTCAACTAAAGATTCAAGTGATAGACAATTAAAAATATGTGTTTACATTGGGAGTAAACTTTTAAAATGCCTTTTCTCAGGTTCTGCATTTTTCATGTATCTATATGTACAATGTGAATGTGTGAGTGTATGTGTGTGTATGTGTGTGAATTTTGGGGTTGTCTCTCCAGACTCCCTGGAACCACCTGTAGGTCTCAAAAGGTCACACTGTGGTGATGTTAAACCAACGGGACACACTCTCCTCCAGGTCTCTGCCTGATGCTCCACCCATCACGTCTCCAGGAACACCTTTCCTCTAACCCCGGTCTCTCTCACACCCACTCAGTGTCTGCAGTGGCGTGGGGAGGGGCAAGGAGGTGGCTTTTCTCTCCCTTTGCGCTTTGATCTGGTGACCTGTGGCTGGGTGGGCTTTGCGCTGTCCAGTGTCCAGCAGTGACCCCTCCCACAGTGTGCCAGAGTCTGAAAAACAATCCTTTGAAACAGCCAATTTAAAAAAACCAATAGATATCAGTATGCGAATGAGATTGTTTTTCTCTCTGAAGTCAAAAACAATTTGAGCGCTCTGGTTTTTTCCCAAGCGCTATGTAAATAAAGATTACTTATTCTCTTACTAATGATGACAGTTTTAAACCCAGAAACTAAAGAAGTTATCAAAACAACAATTATACTCAAAACAAACAACCTTTTAAACTTTTAAAAACATGTATTATATACTTTTGTACTGTGTGATTAATTTATCTATGCGTCCTTGGGTTTCTTGAAAGACGCCATGAAATGAAATTATGAAAAAATCTCTATAAAAATGAACATTAATTTGTAAAAACATTTAAAACAAACTTGAAATCAAACAAAAGATTTAGCTCCAGCTAAACTGGATTTGGTTTCATAATAAAACTCAATTGTGGCGTCGGAGCTGCCTCCTCAATGTCTCTGGGCAGCAGCAAGGTCACGCGGTGTAAGTCAAAACAAAAACAAAAGTCACCGCTTGAATGTGTGAATTGGGTGAATTGGGTAGTTTAACTTAATTATATAATACTTTTACAGCCTAATTCCCTCTTTCTTTTTTAGGACGAAGTCTACAATCATTAATCACTTTTAACAGATTCTAATTTAAATGTTTGTAAAAACGGCTTTTGTAACTAAATAAAAACATAAAAAAATTCTCACTAACAGCTATGAAATATCAGATACAATAATGGACTCACAAAATAAGCAGCAGATTTAAAAGAAAAGCAAAGCTTTTGTACTAATCTTTGGTTTCAAAAACATACTAATTCAAACACTTCTTTTTACTAAATGGTGTTTAAAAACGTTTAACTGTGTCTAACACAATGTTCAAATGGCAAATTTAGCAAATTTAACGGAATAACTACTATGAAAAGCCAAATTCCTAAAGCAGTAGCTTTGCTTCAGATTCACAGCCAGAGCAGCGAAGGAGGGGGCCGTTTCCCTGACAACGGCAGCAAGATAGAGATGTGCACACACAGGCAAAAAGATACAGAAGAATAACTTTCAAGATTACTTTGTTAAGCGAATATAACTGATGTTGTTCTTTATACTTTTGTCATCCAAATC